TAAATTAAGAGACGATTTAGATGTCTAACAGAGGAGGGCTGATTAAATTTGTTTGCCACAATTATACTATGGAATACTATGCAGCAATATCAACAATTCTGCATAAAAATGTTTTTTTTAATTTTTTTAAATGTTTTTAACAAGGAAATATAGTCATTGCATATTGCTCAACAAATTGGCATGTTAAAAGACTGAGTAAATTATCTAAAACAACAGCTCTGGAGTTGGGTGGCCTGTAATAGAAGTTTGTATAAAAACTTGTACCCCTGGCACTTAGTATGCCAGATGACAAACTATTCAAATTTCCGATTTCTTTTTCTGTAAAAAGAAGAATAATTATACTTCCTACCTCATTGTATTTGGGGCATACATAATATGTATAAGATAATACATTCAATGTTCTTAGCATTTTAACTGTTGGACAAGTGCACATAAATGCTATTTATCAAATAGCATAAATACTTCATTTCTAAAATATACACATGTTTATTGATACTGCCAAGATATGCATATAGTTATAAACCTCAACTTTTTTTTTCTTCTCTGTTTTTTTAAGATTTTATTTATTTTTATTTATTTATTTGAAGAGAGAAAAAGCAAAAGAGCAGCAGGAGGAGAGGGAGAAGCAGGCTCCCCACTGAGCAGGGAGCCCCACGAGGCGCTTGATCCTAGGACTCTGGCATCATGACCTGAGCCAAAGGCAGACGCTTAACCAACTGAGTCACCAAGGTGCCTCTCTCTTTGGGGTTAAGTATGTTTTTTTGTGTTTGCTTGTTTGTTTGCTTTAACTGCATTCCCTACATGTTTTACGTGGAAGAGTCTGAGTCAGGAGTTCTGCTGCGGTAACAAACCACCCTTAGTATGTCAGCTGCTTAAAACAACAAAAGTTTATTTCTCCCTCATGTTACAGGTCCTTGGTGGGTCAGCAGAGGTTTCTCCAATCATCCTCATTCAGATATCCAGGCTAATGGATCAGTCACCATCTCAAACACTGCAAATCCCCACTGGGGGACAAGAGAGATGGCAAGTCTCTCACTGCCTCTTAAGCCTCTGCTCCCAAGTGACGCACATCAATTTTGCTCACATTTTTTGGCCAAAGCCAGACACACACTCAGAAGGAGAACCTCAATAAAAATTTAAAAAATGTATTCTTAAGTCAAAAAGAACTTAAAACTACTGTGTACCCTATCATGAGCCATTTCAAGTTTTTGAGCAGAATGTCAGTATGAGACTAGAGAAAGTTGTCCCTTAGCTCCAGTGCCCGGGAGGCAGAAATTAGGACGAATAATTCTGTGTCCAAATCAAGCAGATGAGAGTAATCTCATTAAATAAAAAGATATTTGTAGGCCATAACAAATAGAAATCAAGGAGCCACAGGATTAATAGCGAATTTAAGAGATTATCTAAATTATTCCCCTGCTTTCAAGACATAATGATCACACTTAGTCATCACCAGCAGAAGCAAGTAATCTAATTTAATTTCCGGTGCACAAATGCCTTCACCTGGCCCCTGAGGTGGACTATGCTGAAGAACTTCAGTACATTTTACCAGGAGAATTTTTTTTTCTTGGCCCCAGCTAGCGAGGGGCTGCAGATCTCCGGCTTGAGAACCGATGGGCCTTGTAATTGCTTTCCTCACTCATGTAAGCACAGCTGCAGCTGTCATTCATAAATGGCAAAACTAATCCTTTATAAGTTTTCATATTGGCCATTTGCTTTAAACATCCAAAGCCAATGAGTTTGCAAAGATAGCTCTGTGAGAAAGGAAGGGTCTCTGACCACTGGTCCGAGCACTGGACCAGCTCTCATAAATCCCTGGTCTTCATTCTCAGAATTCTCATATTTTGTTATGATTCCCTGGGAAATCACTCCACTCATCAATACCTCCATTTTCCTGCGAGGAAACTGAAGAAGCTTATTATTTATCTCTAAAGTACTTTAAAAAGCTTAAATGAATTATAAAAATAATAAAGTCTTCTAATTCCATACATAATATTCAATGCCTTTTTAACAAAATAAACTTTAAATATGTGTTATTGCTTAAAAATGGTAACTAATACATTAGTGAATCTCTAGAAAGGTAAGAGACAAATATGTTTCTCAGAGTTATCAAAGACTGGTATCCACAATAATTAAAATCCACCATAATTTTCTTACCCTAAAACCATATTAAAAAATCGAGGGACAAATAAAAAACAACTGGTAATATATAGAGAGTGATTTTCTATGTTTGAGAGATACTTTATAGGCTCTTCTTATTTTTCCATCATAAATTTGTTATTTTTTAAACAATGAATGAATGAATAACAGTAGTCCGAAGGACACTGATTTTTAATCCTTGTTCCTTTAAAAGCGTGACAGGCTTACTCAAGCTCTCTAATGATGATATTTATTAATGCAGGTAGAATAGTAGTTTCCATGTGGGGCTGCTGGTGAAAAGCGATCAAGTCAGAAATAAAATTTATGAAATGAAAATTTCCTTCTACCCATATCCTAACCTTCTACTTATAATCAGTAGGGATATATAGCAGAATATGGGAAAATAACCTATGATACAAATAATCTTGGGGACTTTGTTTTCTATGTAAAGAAAACTCTAAATAGTCAAAAAGACAAATGGTAACAAATAACAGGAACACTCATGCACTGCTGATGGGAATTAAAATGGTGCCCCCATTTTAAAGACAGTTCAGGTGTACCTCAAAAAGTTAAACAGAGTTACCATAAGACCCAGCAACTCCATGTATATGTATATACCCAAGGGAAATTAAAACACATACCCACACAAAAATTTATACATGAATGTTCATAGAACATTATTCATGATGGTCAAAAAGCATAAATAACCCAAATGTCTACTAATAGATGAATGGATAAATATATGTGGTATATCCACACAAATGAATATTATCCAGTCATCAAAAGGAATGAAGTACATGGATAAATCTTGACAACAGTATGCTAAGTGAAAAAAAGCCAGAAACAAAAAGATCACATATTTTATTATTCCATTCATATGAAATATCCAGATTAGGCAAATCCATGGTGACAGGAAGTAAATCAGTGGTTTCTAGGGGTTGACGGGAGAAGAGACTGGGGAGTGACTGGTAAGGCGCACAGGATTTCTTTTAGTGGTGATGAAAATGCTCTGGGATGAGATAGTGGTGAAGGTTGCATTATTTTATAAATATACTAAAACCCACTAAGTTGTATACTTTAAAAGAGTGAATTTTATGGTATTTGAATTATATCTCAATAAAAAAATTTATTTTTCAAAGAGAAAACTGCAACATAAATTTCTGATCTAACATTCAGGTAAAAGGAAGTCTTTCTCTTTTTCCTCTTTCATGAGCAAAATTGGTAATAATTTCAATTACCAGTTCCTCCGAAGGCATATTTCATATTAACTTTGCCATTTCCATGTGAGAGGTGAAAATGCATTTCTTATTTTGATAAATCAAAAATAATGGAACCAGCTTTCCTTTAGATGAATTCTTCTTTCTCTTCCAATTTGTACCTGATCTGGAACCAAGAGCACACCCAAGGCTATGTGCCTTCTAAAACAACCTAAGCTTATTCAGAGCTGTCTGTTTATAGGATGCTTTTTCAAAAGCCAACAATCTCAATGCAACGTTAATGAGTTTCAGAAATGTCAGTGGACAATTAAATGGTCTCATTCAGAAAGTTTTGAGCAAATATCCAAACTTTTTCTTAAAAAAGTATACTCTTAATCCCATTTAGCTATTTCACTCATCCCCACCGCCCCGCCCGCCCCGGCAACCACTAGTTTGTTCTCTGTAAGAGTCTGTTTTCTTGTCTCTTTTTTTTCTTCATTCATTTGTTTTGTTTCTTGAACTCCACATATAAGTGAAATCATACGGTATTTGTCTTTCTCTGTCTGATTTATTTCATTTAGCATTATACCGTTTAGATGCATCCATGTTGTTGCAAATGGCAAAATTTCATTCTTTTTTTACGGCTGAGTAATATTCTATTTTGTATATACACCACATCTTCTCTGTCCATTCATCTATTGATGAATGCTTAGGTTGCTTTCATATCTTGGCTATTGTAAATAATGCTGTAATAAACATAGGCATGGATACATCTTTTCGAATTAACATTTTCATATTCTTTGTATAAATACCCAGTAATGGAATTACTGGATCATATAATTCCATTTTTAATTTTTTAGATTTTTAATTAAATTTCTGTTTTCCACAGTGGCTGTACCAATTTGCATTCCCATCAACAGTCCACACAGGTTCCTTTTCTCCACATCCTTGCCTACACTTGTTATTTCTTGTCTTTTTTATTCTAGCCATTCTGCTACGTGTAAGGTGATACCTCACTGTGGTTTTGATTTGCATTTCTCTGATGATTGAGCATCTTTTCATATATCTGTTGGCCATTTGTATATTTTCTTTGGAAAAATGTCTATTCAGATACTCTGCCCATTTTTTAATCAAACTATTTGTGGTTTTTTGTTTTGTTTTGTTTTTGTTTTGTTTTTTATTTTTTGTTTTTTTTTGGTGTTGAGAGGTATAAGTTCTTTATATATTTTGGATACTAACCCCTTATGGATCTATCATTTGCAAATATCTTCTCCCCTTCAGTAGGTTGCCTTTTTCTTTTGTTTGTTTCCTTTGCTGTGCAAAACTGTTTTTGTTTTTTTTTAATGTAGCATTGAACTGACCTGAACTAAACTGAAATTGAACAGACCTCAAAGCTAAACTGATGGTATGAGTAAGAGTGAGAGAGAGAGAGAGAGTGTGTGTGTGTGTGTGTGTGCATACGCAAGACAGAGAGGAAGATAGAGATTATATTTCTCCATGTACTACCAGTAATGGAAACTGGATGTACTGTTAGTTCTAAAAAGATTAATCTTTCCTTACTGAGGCATCTCAGCTATCTGTTAAATAAGATATATCTGAACTGAATGCATTTGACTCACTCATAAGATTAGGAGGTGGGGACACAGCCTGAGAGCCCTCACTTACCCCTTCCAGAGCAAGGCAGATCGGAGCTTCCTTGGCACTTCCTGATGCTCTCCTCTGCTGACAGTGGGCAGGAACGTGGGTGCTCACACTTTTTCCCATACCAGCCTACTTTGCAGTCACATCTTCCACAATTACACTGCCCATGACCTTCACAATGAGAGTGTAAAAAAAATGAAAAAATAGACAATGAGGTCAGAATTAGTTTTCATTTCAATAGTGCATATCACAAATGAGCCAGGATCTTAACACCATATTAAACACTAAAGTGAAGGCACATTTATCTCAAGTTCTTAAATATCTGATTTACATTGATTGATCATGAGGGGTAAAGAAAAGCAACTACTCCTGATAAGATAAATGGGTTCGTAGGGCTATAAACGTGAATCCATCAAAATCCAGGTGCACGTGATTATATTGGTCTGCTGGGGCCTAAATGGAGTATTTGATGGATTTGGTAATTAATTCATGTGGAGGAGAGCCATAGGAAACTGAAAACAATTTGCTGTTGAAACAGGTCTTATCTTGTGGAGTCCCCCACACTTTTCATTACCTTTTTTCTATATACTACATGCTTAGCCTAGGGACTCTTAGCCTAAAACCAATAACCTCTGTGGAGTTCACATTCCCTGAGGATCAATGTAGTATACACAAAAGAGGTCAGGAAAGATATTAAACTTCTTTACACATGGTCACAGAGCCTATAACGAATTGTGATGAGTAGTGATATGGTTTAGCAAAAAAATGGCCTATGTTATCAATCAAATAAATGGGTTCAAATCCTGGTCCTGCTATCTATAAAGTAGATACGTCAACATCTCCGAGGTTTAGTTTCTTCATTTTTGAATAAGATAATAATATATTATCTGTCACATTTATCAGGAAGTCCATAATATATCTTAAAATGCTACATAAAAGTAAGTTATTGTTATTTTTATTCGAGTCCACATACATAAACAAGTAGGAATAGAAAGAAAAGCAAGAAAGCTGAGCTTTTCTTAATTCCTAATCAACATTCAGATAGTTATTATTACAGATGCAGGACACTGTGGATTTCTATAATTGCTGCAAAAATGCATGACATTTTTTTATTTTAAGTAGGCTCCACACCAAACGTGGATCCCTATGTGGGGCCCGAATTCTTGATCCTGAAATCAAGACCTGAGCTGAGATCAAGAATTGAATGCTCAACCGACTGAGCCACACAGGCGCCCCCAAAATGCATGAAAAAATTTTAAAGGAAGTGGAATTATATTTTCTTGAAGTAAACTGAGTATGATGCTAATGGATGAAAATCTCCATTTTTTGTTTTGTCTTTGGCATCTGATATTAACATAATTCATACATTATGGAAACTGTTCTTCAGTACAGACTAGCCCTGTTTTATCAAGAGTCCCTGAGGTTTGGGGGCAGATATCTATCTTTTGACTTGGAGGAACTGGACAATCCACATATCGGGAAGCTTTTCACCATCTATTACCCTGGTTCTTCATGAAATAGATCATAAAATTATAGGTCAAAGTAGAGTGAGATATTAGGGATCAGTGAATCCAAATTTTATATTTAACGCTATGTTCAATTCAACATACATTTATTGATCCCTTACTATGCAACAGAGTCTAAACAACAAATTCCTGTCACCATTAATACTCTGCTTCGAGCTCATCATTTTAAAGGAAAAGAAAACTGTGTTTGCTAATAGATATGTATGACATGTCAATGTGATCATTGAAACCTTTAAATACAAGAGTTTTTATTATACTAGTTTAACTTATTGGCAATTATATGTCAGAGGTTGTTTGGCTTTGTGGCTTTTTGCTAACTTCCCAGAAGTTCCTACCCCCCTTCTCCATCCTCATGTAATTTAGAGCAAGATTTCCAAACAGAGCTACATTGCAAAGACATAGATATATAACAATTCTAAAACAGATTTCAACATTCCAAGTACAATAAATTTGGCTGTTTATAGAAGCCAATGGCTTTGAAATTCTTGGAGACAAGAGGTCTCATTCCTAGGAGAGTTAGATCTACAAGGATACCGGACAAAGCACAGAACATGCTGCCATTGGTGAGAGACTAGTTGATACTTTAACAAGAACAGTGAAAAACAGTTATACTGAAGGGGGCGGGGGGAAGCTTTACTTTTAAAAGTTGCAAACAGCTCTGAACATTAGAAGAAAATATTCAGCAGGCAAGGATGCCAAACAGTCCCTGACTACCCAGGACACCGCCACACACACCCAGCGTGCAGTCCTGGTCCCCAGGCGTGGAATGAAGCAGGAGCCTGTGCACAGGGAGAGCAGTGACTGAAGGCAGAACGTTCTCAACTTCTGTGGTTGTAATATAGGCTTCAGCTCAGCCATTAGTTTCTATCTCAGGTTCACTCCCATGTCAACATTTCAAACGAAACTCATGGTGGAGTGAAACGAATTCATGAAGACTGTCAGAAGTTATGAAGAAGATTTTTAGAGTTAAGATCTGGTCCCACTAATAACAAAAGAAGTCAGAGGAATTGTGGATGCCTTGACACATTTTGGGGGGAAAAATGTAGCTGCTCTAGAGCTAGAAGAAATCTCAGAAAGTCTCTCGCCATTATGCTCCAGATTCACTCTCTGTTTTCTATCGTACTGGTCTCCTCACTCGGTTTTTAATCTCTATGCTTTCCTCCCAAAAGTCATGCCTTTTTTCAATCTCTTCACTATTTCTGTGTTCTGATACAGTCACTAGGGGGAAAAGCAGCCTATGCGGTCCTACATCTCTTATTTCCTGTGTGTTTAGCGCAGCATCATGAACATTCTCAAGGATCAGTCCTATAAGTTTGTGTGTCACCTCTAGGCATTGCCAGCTCCAAGCATGGCTGGGAAGAACACATACAATATGTCCCTCACTTTTACCACATGTGTGATGAGCCCTAACCTCCTGTGCCTTCTGCCTCAGCCTCAGCCTCAGCCTTCACCCGATCAAAGTCCCCTCGATAACCCCACTGTAGTCCATTGCTTAGGCACTGGAATAAATTGATGAGACCGTGCCACTGCTGTGATTGGCTGCAGAATGAAAGATTTTGCCTCTAAATAGGAAAGTGTCACAGTGGGAGAATATTATTTAGGTCAGGATGGCCACCGATCCTCTCAAATCACCTGCTTAGGAGTCTCCTCTACACTCTGCCCTCTGAAGTCAACATCCATTGAACAAGTTTGGGCTGAGGAAAGAAGGGTTATTAAAATATGAATGACCTAAGTCAACCATCTATAATGAATGAAATTCCTGAGAGTCAGTGAATGCATGGCAACCACTTTAAATGGTGATAGCAGGGATATAGACTGTTTCTTAAGGGTTTTATTGTTTTGGGAAAGTAGAAATACCTAAATCAAATGTCCCAGTGAGGATCACAGAGAAGCAAACGTGAAAGTAATAAAGAAAGTTTAAATAATTCTAGTCTAATAGGATTAGGTTAAAACATAAACATAACTTTTACTTTTAACTTTAAATTTTACTTTTACTTTCATGGTAATGAAGATTATAGCCTCCATCTTTCAATAACTCTAAATCACGTGTTCAAGTATATTTCAGAACATTACGGATCTCACTTTAAATGAAACTGTACCTTTTCTATAAAATCCTTTATGATATTTCATCAGTGGAGTTAGGAAATCACTTAAAATGCATGGTATTGATATCAGATTGTGAAGCTGGTATTGAGCCTTTCAGGGAAGACAGGAAGTCATAAAATGAAATTGCAATTTCTCTCCTGGAGTTACTAGTTTCTCAATTTCAGTATAAAAGTTATGCCAAAGAAAGAGAAAAGGGATCATTTTATAGGAATAAAATGAAGATGAAAATGCTTGGTGTTGATATATAAAAAAGAGTTTAGAAATGATAAGATCTGTTTAGCATGAAAATCCTTTCGACTGCCATAATATACTATAGCAAGTCTTTTCCAAACAAATAGTGAAAGATGCATAAAAGAAGAAATTAGGAGATCTGTGTCCTTAGTCTAAATACGTCACTAGTCCACCTTTCTGGCCCTCATCTCATTTTATCTTTAAAATGACAGAATTAGAATAAGTGAATTTTACCACACTGAAATTTCATACTTCCATGCTAGCTTGTCAGATAGATAGATAGATAGATAGATAGATATGGCCTCCAGGTGTTAATTTCATTGCTTCTAACAAGTATGCCTTCAAACTCTGTAGGCAGAGGATCAACAAATAAAGAATGTTGTTGTTTATCCCTGATAGGAAACATGTGAAGAATGCACATTAGAGAATAGCTTTCAGAAGACCTATGACCTGCATTAAACACACACACACACACACACACACACACACACACACACACACAGAGCAATGGAAGAACAACATGGTGCCCACGTAATGGGATCGCAGCCCAATCTATACCACGTGGGCAGGCAGTTGGCAACACGGCTAGACACCCAGTAGCACCATGGCCATGGCCATGCTGGGCATGTGGAGCTTTAAAGGCTCTCAGGCCATTACAGGAGAGGGTGATGATACCAAAACTTATTTTTTCTTTGTAATCATTGTGCTCTTTGGAGCGAAGTCATCTCAGAAATATCAATCCAGGATGAATGTAGTTGCTCCATTCCAGACAAACATTCTTCTGCTCTAGAAGATATTCTTTCTTTTAAAATGATCAAAACTTCTCTTGAACTGGAATCTGACTTTTACAATTAGCTTCTTATGAAGTAAGATGAGGACCATTAATAGGAAAAGTTTGGGGGAATAAATTAGATCTAACTGGTACTTGTTATTTAAAAAAAACAAACCCATTTGATATATTTATTTGATTTTTCTTTCAAGACAATGCAAACTGAATGTACTTAATCATGTCCTTCAGTTTCTTTCCATAATGCTTTGGTAATCCACCATGATAAATTCCCCCACACAATATGGTCCTATCAAATGATTACATTTTCCAAATTAGTGGAACGCTAAGCCAGGACTAACTTTCTATTTTCACCATTTTGATAGGCAGGCCAAGTTGAAAAATAAAGTTTAAGGTCACACTGTGGCATATTTTAGCAGTTACGGGTTTTGGGGAAATAGACCAGAGTATAAATAGCCATCAGGAATAAAAGTTATTTCAGGACCAGGAAGTAAACTCAGTGGAGCAGCTCATAGAACAGCAGTAACAAACAGAGCCCCTGGTACAGTTCGGGATGGTTGGTCATGCCCTGGTCATTGTAGTTACACTCAAATTTTGTTAATAGTATTGGTCTGAGGTGTTGTATATGTACGTGTATCTGAGTGTGCACTTGAATTATATATGTGTATGGATGAGTTGGCACACACACACACACACACACACTAAGTGGATGATGAACAACAAATAGGAATGAAAGAAGAAATAAATAAAACTGATTTATTTGGGAGCAGGTTTTAAAATACTTGTGTCGTCTGTATCCACGATGTAATAGGCACAAATATTTATATTTTAGCGCATTATTGAATAGATGAATGGACTCAGTAGGAGTGAATGAAAACAATGAGAATGTCATTAAAAGAGCAACTTCAACCAACTCACCGGGAGGTTTCCCTGGGACTCAAATAAGAAAAACACCCTGAGGATGGCAAGAATGGGAGCAAAATATAAAGCCGCACTTCATCTGAGCCTTCTTATATCCCAGGCTTGCATAAATCACTAGAGAACATTGACATAGTTGAGTTACTTCCATCTCCTAACACAGAGACACTAACATCCTCAACAGTCAGCTACATGGCGTCCTTCCCGTGGTGCAACTCCAACAGACAATTAAGAAAATTGTGAAGACTAATAAATCACTTAACACACCGTCTAGAATTCAACAGATTTCCTGAGAATGAAGAAATCCCAGAGATGGGTGGCCTGCCCCAAATCATAACGACATTCAGAGAAGCTTTGTTTTATAAGAATTGTGAGCATCTGGAGGACAGTTCTTCCTTACCAAAATAAAGTAAAATTGAAGAGGTTTGTTTGCATCACTTGGAGATCAAATTACATGAGTACTTAGGTTCTGTATGTGTTTCCAGGTGACACTTAATGGCTGTGTGAACTCTGTCAAGTTACTTAATTTTTCTGAACCTGTGCTTCCTCTCCTGTTAAAATGCAGATAATAACGTCTCCCCCTCTGAGTGAGGGTGAACATAAAATGGAACGAGGGGTGTGAAATGGGCTAAAAGAGTGGAGTCTTGTCTTGTTGTCTGAACCACAGTCTCTTGCTCCATCCCTTCTTCCCACTGCCACGGGTCCGCCCCCTCCCCCCCCCCCCAGTGCGGAGACGGCAAGTAAAGGTTTAAGCACTCTTCTCTAAACTCCTCCCACGATAAACCTGACCTACCACAGCCATAACGACCCAACAGCTTCACTTTCCCTGAAATTTCCTAGGATAGGGAGGAATGGAAAATGTGAGAAAGAGGAAATGAGGGGCAGAAGGAAGAAGAGAGGGAAGAGATGAAGTGGAGAATTTCAGCTTCCAAGGAGGACTCCTGTGGACCTTTACCTGCCCAACCTAGAGTGGTAACTCTGAGTTCAAATGACACGCAGTAGGAATTGTGAGCTTATAATAAAAGGATTGAAGTGTTAACTGAAGTTCATTGCCCGTCTTCACCGCATGACCCCTCTCCCTCACCGTGAGACAGAACAGCACATGCGACCCTGAGTGGTCACTATCATGTAGCTATTCTGAATGTTTCAACCCCACTCCAAAATCAAGATCACAGGTTTATCAAGGAAGAACATACCCTATGTAAAACAAACAAACGAAAACCAAAACCATAACAAAAACCAAAACCAAAAACAGTATATCAGCAAGTCACAAACATATTTTTTTATATAGCCTGATTATCTCCTTCATTTTCCCATTTAAAATTGTATGAATTCATGTTTTATCTCACGATCTTAAAATGGAATTCTTAAATGACATTTCCTGAACCCTGGTATAGTCTTAATTACCTACTCTCGGGCTCTTAACTTCTCATGTTCAGCCCTGACCCTTCAGACTCACATATTCAACGGGCTGAAAAAAAAAAAAAACTTTGGACTGCCATTGGTCCTTTAGGCTCAATACCTAAAAATGAATTTGCCAACTTCCTTTTACATTCCCTGTTGCGGCAGATGGCACCCAGACAACCAGACTGGAAACCCGTGAGTGTAGCACTTCGCTGCCTAAAACCATCATTAGCTCCCCATTACCTTTGGAATAGAGTCTGGTTCTGCAGCAAGGTAAAAAGACCTCTAGTTCTGTTTCTCACCAGCTTTACCTTTTGTCACTTGTGCATTCTGGTGATAACTAAACTGATTCTAGTCCCCGGCACAGATCACACACTTCTATTCTCTTTGCCTAGGACGTGCCTCTCATCTCTTTTTACCTGCGAGCCTACCCCTTAGGTAAGAAGCCCACGCCCGACATTCTCTACACCATTTACTTATTCAGTTTGTTTGCTGCCCTCCGGTCCCAATGGGATGTAAACTCCATCAGAGGAGGGATGTGATCTGTCGTGTTCGTTGCTATGTCCCCAGCATCAATGGCCAGATGAGCAACAAATCCATGACTCTGAAAATCTCTCATACCACAGTTTATTAAAATTTCATGTTTAGGTGGCAGTTTTGTCATTGTTGTTTTGTTCTGGTTTTGGGTTTTTTGTTTTGTTTTGTTTGTTTTGTTTGTTTTGCTAAACAGTACATTTTTTGAGGGTAGAATCTATGAATTTTTGTATTTTTAGACCCTAATATCTTACGTAGACTCTAATATCTTACGTAGTGCCTCTAGCATAGTTGGCTCCTGATAAAGGTTTGTCCTAGTAAACCGAAGTTTAAAGATTTTTTCAGTGAAGAAAGAACCTTTATATTTCTTCGGATTCATAGACCTCGTTAACATTGTGATCCTGTCTCTTTGCTGTGAGGCCTTGAGCAGTTTGCGGAACTTTCCTGAGCCTCACTACCGCCGTTTGTAAAATGAGAAGAAACAGATTCCCCACCTCGTAGAGTTTTACAAAAAAATAAATGCCACAATCTGGAAAGTGCTTAGCACGGTGTCTGGCACAGAGAGCCACCCAAGAGTTAGCGGCTGTCTCATTTCCATTGTGTCAATAATAACCCTCAGATATAATGAATAACAGAAAAATCTGGAAAGGGCAACCCCTCAAGAGAAGGGTGTTCACGGAACGTTCAGGAAGTTCTCCCGAGCATGAGGGATAGTCAGGAGAAGGAAGCTCTTCTGCAGTGGGAAGTTTTAGCAGCAGGCTCCCCTCCTCGGGGCCAGTGAAGCTTCCACAGCTGCATAATCGTGATTAAATAGGGCAGCTCTTTATCTCCCTTTGCTGGCAAGCCTTCAGGAGACAGTGGAGTTTCCTATCTACTTACACACCCATCTAGCAGTCCAGCTTAAAAAGATGTATATGCAGATGTCTCTGTCTCCTGGGTGGTCAAATATAACCGGACTGAAAATCCGTAACTCCAGCTTTTGCTCAATGACACTTTTTCAGCTAAATCTGACCACCTTCTTTTTCCCTTTCTGCCCTGAGAGGTTCTGGCAGGGGGTGTTTTTCCATTGCACTTAAAACTGCAAGCTCCCTAAAGCCGAAGATTGATTGTGTTTGTCCCCTTCACTGCTGGAACTGAAAGCCAGGATGCTGTCCAGACCCTGGTGAACGGTATCTGCTCTATAAATGTTTATGGAACAAAACTTTTGAATCCACTTATTGATATTTAATCCTACACTAGTCTGCAGAATAATCTTAGGATATAAATTATGCCAAGGACTTACGGCATGAAAATATCCAGGAGAACTGTGTTATGCGAAGTTGTGTAATACATGAGCGTAGCTGTTCTCATGGTCCCCATCCTGGACACTGTCAGTGGTCTGCTGGTTCTGTATGTTCAGAGCTGAGCAACAGATATCTGGGGGAGGCAGTTCTCCTTGGTGAGGAGTTAGACTAGTTTTAAGAAAGTGAGGCCCCTTCATCTCTGGTCTTTGCCAACGTGTAAATTCTCTGAAGGTTTTCCAAGGTATTCACGGGAGCGCTGTGACTATCAAATGCTTTCCAATGCACAGATTCAGTTCATTCATTCATTCATCATTCATGAATTTATTTTGAGAGAGGCAGTGTGTGAGTGGGGGGCTGCTGAGGGAGAGGGAAAGAGAACCACAAGTAAGCTAAGTAAGCTCCACACCCAGCACAGAGCCTAACACGGGACTCAATCTCATAACCCTGAGATCATGACCTGAGCTGAAACCAAAAGACGGATGCTTAACCGACTGAGCCACCCAGGGGCCCCACAGATTTGGATCTTTTACAGTTTCTGTGAGAATCAGAATCAGGCTTGAAAATAAGAAAACGAATATATATATTTTTTATTTTATTTTTTATTTTTTTTACTTAAAAAACAGGAATGAGGAAAGCAACGTACCTGAACAGAAGTCATCAGAGTATCTGTCATAGACAGCCCTACAGTCCCTCTCGTCACACTCACAGGTGTCCCCGTGAATATCTCCCCAGTCTCCGGTTGGGTCAACATCGTGGCAAGAACACTCGCCACACACACAAGTCCCTAAGTGAGAAAAAAAAATTGTATATGGTTTTAGTGAAGAAAAATCATGGAAGAAAGCATCTGACACATTGCTTTTTAAAACCTTTTGCTTATTGTGTATTTGGAAAATACATATACTGGAGAAAAAAAATTCTACCAAGGAAAAACACCATCTAAAGTGGACAGTAGAGATTCTTTAAAAAACAAAAGTTAGTATCTGAGTCTATAGTTGTGTGGGGTTGTGGGACGTGTCGTTAGCACGATTCTGGCTTCTCTCTAAAATAATATCAAAACAAGAACACGAGATACAATCCTTGTCCTCAAGAAACTTGCCGTCTATTTGACAAAAAAGAAAGCTAACGAAAGACTGTAGGGTCATGCACCGAAATGCAAAAGGTGGTTATATCTGAATGTTTAAAATGTATTTTAAAATATCCATATCTGTATTTTAGAAAACAAATACACGTGGCTGTCCTAATAGTGTAATTGTTGCAGGGGCAGGGGGTGAGGATGGATATGTGCCAAAGTGGGTCCAGCGTGAAACTGAATGAGCCATTTGGGCAATGTAGGACATGCATTCTGTCCCCGATGAGCTGTGTCTACCACGGAGGCTTTTCTGGCCTTGGAGATGGGCTAACGAGGACGGTGAGGTAGGTTTGTGCAGGGATTGGTGTCTCTCTCCTGGCCCGGAAGCAATGATGGGGAAGAGTGCTAGGGGAAACATGGCCGGTACCTTCCGGGGGAAATAAAAGGACTCGTGGCCGTGCTTCCCCGACTCGGACTCGCCTTCAGGAACGCCTGAGTCTCACTGCTAACCAGCCTCGTTCAGGCATGGTGCTTTCCTGTCCGCCCTTGGCGGACCTCCAGATCGGACAGCTCACGGGAAAGGGGAGGCCGGAGGTGAGACTGCAGAGAGGGGGCGAGTCATGTGTGTTTCTGAAGGACCTCTGTCTGTCTCTCAGAGCCCACCGGCTGCAGAACCCGGCCCTGCTCCACCGCCCAACCATTTCCACTTCTCTCCTCACTCCTTGCAACACCTAGCTGCTTGCTTCCCACGGGAACACAGCACAAGCTGCGTACCCTGACAGCATGATGGTGACCACTGACCCTACTGCATTAATAAAAAGGGACTCAGGCAGCAACACATCCTTATATAGTAAAGGAAAACATAACATGAATGAGTATTATGATCTATAGTCAGACCGATTCTGCATAAATTAAAGAGAGGACTTTCCTTTATGATTTTTGCTCCAAGTTCAGGCCTTTTGCTTTCCTTTCTCTGCGTACAGAAATGTGGCCCATTTTACACTTTCGTGTCAATGTTTTCTGCCAATTTTTCAAAAGATAGAATCGGTTGTGTGTTAAGGTTTTCCGTGGAAGCAGGATCTATTAAGAAGTACCATTCGTTTATAGACATGAGAAAAAGAGTTTTCCAACTTTCTAGATTTTTATAATTTTATAGAAGGAAAAATGGTCACTTATTTATATCATGAGGTCGGCAAGGAACAGTGCCGCATGGTCCTCTTTTACTTACAGTACAGCTAATAAGGGAAAAAATGACAAATATTTTCAAGGGTTTTTAAAAAGCGTTAAAAACTGATTTGACTTGATATCAACAGTTAATTCATGTTAAATTACATTTTAGCAATACTAATATATTCTTAAAGCTCACGTCGGAGGTCAGCATCAATTTTCTATGGCTACCTGACACGTAGTTTCTGTATCTCTTCAATATCATTTTTATTATTGCAGATAAAAGTGAAGCCACTCCAGATCAATTCTGAATGACAACCAAGCCTTCGATTTACTCATAATGAAGACAAGAGAGTTTCTTAAATGCTCTCTAGATCATTAGATGCTCATGCTGGAGATGGTTCTGTTAGTGAAGAGACACTCAGCAGAAGTATCTACAAGAATTGCCTTTTAGCTGTCTTCTGCTATTTCTGGATGGCCGCCAAAGAAATTACAGTCCCTACATTAACAACGGGTTCAGTGAAGCTTAAACTATAGCAACTTTCTTACCCTTCTGCTTTTTTACTCAATAAAAAAATGAGAGAGAAGATTGTTGGTATAGTATGGACTTACATCGAAGTCAAACACCATAAAAGACAACTTCCTCCCATACTGAAGGAAATCCAGAGAGAAGGAGTGTTAACAATTAAGAGCTTTGTTCCTCCCCCCCCACCCCGCCCCAACTCCGTAGTAATGTGAATGAATGACACACCTCTGTTACTGCAGATTTTGCCATCTGGAGACGTGCATCTTCGCTTGCTCTCCCAGGGGGTGATATCACACTGGAACTCACATTTATCTCCATGCCAACCAGACCCGCAATAACAGTTTCCACAGTAACACTTTCCATGGCCTTTACCCAAAATGAATTTTATAGAGTGAGGGGAAAAAAAGCAACTTTTAAAAGCAAAATTAACTTTCTACCTCTTCATGATCATTTTTGCCTTTTGAAATAAAATCTACCTGCTCGACAGACCCTGCTTAAAATAATCAAGTTACAGATTTGCATATAGCCATGTAATTATACACACAAAGCAAGCCAAAGTGTCCTCTAACTTGTCCTAGCCAGGTAGCTGATTAAAATGAAAGAAATTTAAAGAAATGACATGAAAGACTGTGAAAGCCTGTCTACTACCTTCCGATCTCAAAGGTACGGCATCCAAGTCAAATGTATGTAAGCATTCCTTCGGAGGGTATTTCTGGAATTAGTCATCCAAGTATTTCATTTGAAATCCACCACTGAGAAACCAGGGGTACATATTTACTTGGATGCACAGTATTAATGACTGAACCATTTCTTAAATCAGGGGACATATTTCATCTTTCCATTCAAATGTGTCCCACAGTCTGCTGTGCTCCACCACGAGGAAAAGAGGTTTTCTGTTAAATCAGTGTTTAGTCCTCCTTTAGGCCAATAAACTATCATGGACCCTTGGCCTCCCAATCAAATCCCCCTCCTATTTGTCAAGGGGACAGAAATGATAGGGAGGGTGCCCCATCATTTTGTGTTCTGAAGCCACCACACCCCTCTGGCTCCTGCCTCTTATGAAACCTTACCCTGTTCATTTGTACCTACTTCCCAGCAACCCCTCATGAGCTGTCACATCCTGGCTTCCTGCACCCCTACTGAGCAATCCTTCTGGATCCCAGAAGGTGGCAATTCTATGTGCCTCAAGTCACTTGCCACGTTTTCTCTCTAAATGAGCTGTAATTTGGATTTCCATGGAAAACCTCCTATTAACCTAACAGTCAATGATCGTTTCTACAACAAGTTTTCATTTTAATTTGTTCACGTAGGCAAACGTAAGGGCTATCTAATGATTTCACCAGTGATAAAATATAAAGGCTATACATTTTATTTATGAACTCAAAAACATCTCTCCTGTACCCACACAAAATACATCCTGGGGCTGTCTCCTCAGGAACTTACACTGGAACACAGCAAGACAACTGTGTACTAAAACCTTTTCTAGAAGTCAAATTTTTTTTTAATTTTCTTAAGACTTGATTAACTTTTTAAACTAGAATTTATTTCCTCTGTAATTTTAGGAAATTTATGTAAGGTGCTGCATATGTAAGCATTACCATGACATTAACAAATAATCCCAAATCTACATTCTTCATACCCAAATTCTTTGTATATTTATAAAACTCAAAATTGAATTAGGGTTTTACTAAAACATCACTGCGATACAGGTGAATAAGGAAAGAAGAATCATGTCAAACTACATTTGTATGTAGATACGAAAAATTAAGCAGATATCCTCACAACCCAAATGAAAATACTGTTAACAAGCCACATGTGGATAATTGAGATAAAATACAAGCTTGGGACAATACACATTGCACACAATAAATATCACTCTTTGCTTTGTATAAACTGATGGAGCGAGAAAATCTCCTTTTAAACTGTTCCACTGATGGGCTGTAGAGTCACCTCTCAACAGACTGGTTTCATGCGAATGACATGCAGAAAGACCTAGAATCCCAGCCAAAGTCACCCTCAGAGGATATTTACTGGAGTGCTGAGGTGTGTGGTCAGAGACTTTGCACCATGAAATTGCTTAAGCCTCAAACAAGTGGAAATGGTTAGTGGCAGGGTTGGGAGTCAAACGTTTCCTGTTGTGTTAAATGTTTACATTTACACATGCAAATAGACCTCGCTTTGGTGGTGTGCATCAGAACCCACTGGCCCCAAGCGTGTTCCCTACCTCTTTTTTGGTCCATCCTAATTGGAAATGAAACATCAGGAGGATAGGTACATAATATTTGTAGGTGGATTTACCTAACTCTTCTAATTATTTTGGATTGAGTCCATTAACAGAATTGTCTGAGCAGCATCTAGCTTAGGTCATTGCCTTGAAAAACGTAACTTTTTGTATTTGTCTGTTTTATCTTGGTGGGTTGTACGGCAAGGAAACCAGAGGGAACCAAGCCGACCCAAAATAAGAATATCTGGATGACCGCAAGAACTGAAGCTACAATTTGTTTTTGTAAACAGAGGGAGAGCTTGTCCTCCTAAGTTAGTGACACTTTCTCTGTGGCTCTCTGGTTCCTCCTGCCCCATTTGTCCCTGATCCTTCCAGGGAAAATTCTCTTCTGAAATCACCCATTCTGCATGCAGAATAGGATTCCATGCATTGGAATCTTGTCGGAGATAAACGAAATAAACAATTGCTTATTAATGGAGAGATGAGACCAGCAGTAACCAGGCCGAAGCGTTTACATTTATGTAAACTGAAGGGAGTCTCGCTGCTCTCTCCTCTTCCTCTCCTGTGCTAGCCATGGGTGCAAATAGAAACTCTGGGAACATGCTTGCAGATAGGTAAGCAGAAGGGAAGGATACTCTGGGTGATGAGGAAGGGCTCTTCTCATGGAGCTCCAGACCCCGGGAAACTGATACAACTCTCCATGGGTGGGGTCAAGGGCTCAGTCTTTGGTGTCCGACAGACAAGAGTCTAAATTCCAATACTATTGCTGGAATGACCCTGGGTGCATTACCCAACGAATGTGAAGAACTTATTACAGTCCTTGGCGCTAGGAAGTGTGGCACATGCAATAAATGCTTCAGTAGAAAAATGGATTGAGTAATGGTGTTAGAAATACCCTAGAAAGGCAAAAAAGATCATGAAAAATGTTAATCTAAGTATGGGGTGGGGAGGGACAGATTCTAGGCTAGTGATCCTTTCGGCCTCCAATGTCTCCAATGGGACATGAAACTCTTTGAAGGCTTATGATTTAGCAAGGGAAAATAGAATGAAATTAACACATGCAATTGAGGGACTGGGAGAAAAGAGACAACATACAAGTGCTGCACAAAGCAGGGAAGATGAAGTACCGGTAGGATCACTCTGGAACCACACAGTTGGTCGGTTGCTATAATGATTGGGCTCTCCCCTGGGAACAGTCTGATTTTGCATTTGAAAAGTACTAGTCTACCTTAAGTGACTTATACGAGGTGTTCTCCAAATAAACACAAATTCAGATTAAATGAGTAAACAGTGCAGGAATGTATAGAGTGACAAAAGTACAATAAAACAGGTGAAAAATCAAGGACTTTTACTAATTTCTACGAAGTTAGTGTACCTACCTCCACATATTTCTTCTGTTTCATCGTCTATGCATTCTCTATCGTCACACTCACAAAATTTACCATAAACGAGGCCATTTCCATCTGGATTATCACACTTACACCTGCCACAGTGACATGTACCTAAACCATTTAAACAAAGCAAAAAGCATTTCTTAAGTGCATATAAATGATCATCGATGATTTTTAATCTCTTTCAGAGACAGAGAAAATTCAAATCAATTTAATATTCCAATTATGTAATTCTGTGGGTAGGATGAGATAGATAACATTCTTTCTTGATGATTATAGTTCAGCAATTATATTTTATGGCACATAGCCATAGCTATTATGATTGACCTCTAATAGCTTCATGAGTGGAAATTTGACCTCCCCAAGTGCAGAGCTACTTTATACATGGCCATCCAATCAATGCATGAATGACTATCTTGCAATTACACCTGGGTCTGAAGTGAACTAAAGCAGAAAATTCTAAGCTTTGTGAGGGAAGTAGCCTTGCTTATCTTCCTCACCAGTATTTATTCAATGCTTTGCACAATATTTGAGCATGCTATTTATATAATAAATATTTGTGGAATTCATTATCAAATGCATAAATGAAAAACTTAGAATCTCCTAATAATTTCACCTCTACAGTGTTAAACTGATCCACACATCCTTACAACAATGGGACCAGAGCAGGTTTTCTCAGGTATAGTGTCCCGGGACCTCACCAAAACCTCAGGGAGGCTCACAGTGAGTGACACAGAGGCACTGGAGTCGTCTGGTATACCATACGCCATAGACTCTGCCAACTTTGAGGATCTGACTACAACTCCTGAGAGTGATTTCACTGACAGTAAAACAGCACTCAAATGATATTGAGAAGTAGAATGTCCATTTAAGGAACGCTCTTCTTAATAATTATTTTTCCATTTTTAATCGATCATCATAGCAACCAACAGATAATGAACTAAGACTTTACCACTCACCAGATACCATCCTAGACTGTGGAAACACAATGGGAGATCAAGTCAGCCATAATCCTCCTCTCAAGAGTTTGATACGAGAAAACCAAAGTGATAAAATAAATGGAGAAGTGCAAAGTGTTGCAGAGGAGCTTAGCAGGGGATTTAACTGAGACCTGGTAGTCAGACAGAGTCCTTGGGGAAGTAGATCCTAAATGAGGTACTGAGAGCAAAGTAAAAATAATAGGCAAGAGAAGTGAGATGGTGGGGAGGCCCACTTCCCGCAAGAGACAACAGCAAAGGCTCTGTGGCAAAAGTGGAAATAAGAAGAAAAAGTCCAAGATGGCTAGAACATAGGAAATGATGTGGAAAGTGGCATGAACTGAATAAGGCATGTGGAGGTGCAGTTTACGGAAGTCTTACAGTTCCTGTTAAAGTTTTCCAACTTTAATCCAAGAATAATGAGAAGCCATAGAAATACTTTCAGCCAGGGAGTCATGTGATCATGTATGCATTTTTACCAGATTACGCTAGTTGTCATATGCAGAATGAAGTGAAATGAGGTGCAGTGGATATGAGAATAGCTTATTACATTTGTCTGCAGGGAAGAAGATAGAGGCTGACCAGGGTGATGGCAATGAGTTAGAAAGAAGTGAAGATGCTCAGGGGCGTTTTCAGGAGAAAGGACAGACGACTCAGGGACTGCGTATGAGTGGTGAAGGATCGGGAGGAACTGAAGAGGATATTGATGTTTGAACTGAGCTACTGGATATTGGCAAGTCTGTATGAGATGGGCCAGAAAGGGCATGGATTTAGGACTATGGTGGATTTGTAGCCAAATCCAGGTTTTAATAACCAGTACTATACATTTTTGAGGTCATGACGTTCATCTCTAACTCTTAAATTGCTTCTCTGAAAATAATATCTCCCTCATAGAGCAGCTATGAGGGCCCAGTGGTAAATATATCACCCAGCCATCCTTCTGAAAAGAGTTACATCATAGGTTTTCAGAAAACTTTGGGTTCTTCATCTTCTCCCATGAAGATACTGAATCTATGAGTCATGTTCTCAAACATTTCCCCTAGACTCTCTATATATTGATAGACCCCACGACGTCCTGTCTTCATACCCTCTGCATGATTCTGGTACCCAGGTCATTCCCAATCAGCTATTATCTTGAAAGAGTTTTTTCTCTCACAGTCCCATAGAAATGGTGATTTTGCAGAATTTGAGCTAATTATTTTTCCTCCTTGAGAATACTCATGAATTTTGCATTTATTAAATTTCCTTTTCTTGTATGTGTGTTTTTTCCTGAAAACTATTTTAAATTATAAAAGCTCATTTCAAATCGAAGGCTATAATTCATGGTACTGCCTCATCTCATTTTTTTCTCTAATTATCACCCTTCTTTTTCATTTTCACATTTATTCATGCTGTCTTTTAACCATCCACATATCCATTCATTAAATTTTCTTGCTGCCTACTATGTTGTTGGCAAAGCACCAGGTGCTATAGGAGATAATAAGAAAATTAAAACTAAATAAATCACAGACCAGGAAGAAAGAGCTTAGATGATCAATAATTTTTACACATATATATGAGACCAGATGACGTAAAGGCATCTGCAACAGATCTGTGACAAATACCATATAGAAAGTATAAACTTCAGTCTGGCTCTGTAAAGGAGGAAAGGCACAGTAAAGGAGCAAGTTCTTGAGTTGGCACATGAGGTATGGATAGGATTTCAACAGATGGAGATGGAGAAAAGGCTTGCGATGTTGAGGAAGGAGCCTCAGCTACGGGATAAGGATGTGGACTTAAAGAACAGCGCAAAGTCTGGCTTGGGTTTGGAGAAAAGGGTCAGTTGAAGGCAGAGAGTAGAGGATCAAGAATATTGGCTAAGGACTTTAGAATTTATCTGTTGGAATACCAGGAGCCTCTCATCATTTGGAAGCGAGGTATAACATCGTCAGGGCAAAGAATGGAGGAGCTGTTTTCAGGAAAGACAGGAACAGCCTCTACCTTTGAATTCTGTAACTTCTCACTGACACCCTGACAGGAAAGCTCACTCCCATCCACACATCTGAACCATTTCTGGCTAATGTGGGACGTTTACAACAGCTCAGAGACTTCCTGTCTCACCCATCATGTAGAATTCACAACTGAGGCTCCAAGATATGGCAGATGGAAGCCCAGGCAAAAGCGACAGACTTCTGTGTTCATGTGATGTCATACTGCTTCTCTTTCTTAGTTGCCAGTGAGCTCAGTCTCTAGGACTGGTCTTTATGCTTTATGCTAGATTATTTTTGCTCTGACTTTTCATTCTGATTAGTAAAGCAATCTCTCTCTAGGAAGACTTCCTGTCTTGAACACCAACCATACTCCTGTGCAATGGCACTGGAGCCCCACTTTGCTCTGTAGGCTGTGCCTTTCCTTCTGTACCCCTCTAGAGTCAGCTTCTGGAACTCCTTTAGTCCCCAGCACCATCTCATCCTGACCTGCAGTCTGATGTCCCAGTCTAGCTTCTTCCTCTTCCCCTTCTGCCCCAAGCTGCTTCCAGGAAACCACATCGTGATATAAAGGGGGAATGATTAGTAAGAGAACTCAGAGCCTAATGCAGTTTCGGGGGAGTGGTCCAGAACTAGGCTAGTAGAAGTAGACACTAAAAGAAGCCATGTGAGAATAAGATTGCTAAAGTCAACTTGAAAGGCTTCCATACTGAGTAGAGAGTAAGAGAGAAAGATTAAGTGTAACACTGAGTATGAATTTACCTTTTGGTGCAGCAATTTCATGTTTAGTAATTTATCCTGAAGATACACCCCCCAAAATATGAAAATACATATGTACCAGTTCATTCTCTGCATTAATATTTGTAATTTCAAAATATTGCAAAGTGCCCAACCATAGGAGACTGAGTGAATAAATTATGTCACCTGTATGGAGCTTTGTTCTATGCATCTGGAAAAAGAATGAGCAAGATTTCTATGTACTGATACGGAGTGAATTCCAGGAGATGCTGAGTGGCAAAGGCACAGTACAAAAGAGCATATATAGCATGCTACCTTTTGTGTAGGGAATAAGTGAAAAACCAACAAACTAACACCTACATCTAGCTATCTGCCTTTATTTAAAATAAACATATACACAGATAAAGCAGAATGCCATAAAGTTGGTTACCTATCAGGTAGGAGGAAAGCAGGAGGGAAGCTTTGGGAAGAGAATGATGATTTGCTAAGTATGCTTTTTTATATAATTTTGACCTTTGGAAGCATGCTAATGTTCTACATATTGCAAAATAAAATAAAATCAATAAGGATGGAAAGGAGGAAAAAAAGTCTAAAAACTAAAAGCAATCTGAAGTAAATAACCTTAATTGTATTTCAAATGAGTACAATCACTACACTAAAGGGAGACAAAAAGAAAGAAATCCAAGTAACTTATGAACACAGCAATTAACTAAGTACCCTAATCTTGAGCATGGCTGGCGTGGGTTGGGGGTGGGGGAGGAGGTCAATTGCAAACAAATCCCAAAATCCTTTGGTAGACTTGTTTTGTATGGTGGTATGCATGAAGCTATTCTAAAAACAATTTTAGATGTAGTATAGGATTGAGCAAATGAGGAAATATATCCATGATGCTGGGAGCCAGAACTCTCACCGTGAAAAATGGAACCTGCAAATATGGAAGGGGAAAGACAGCAGATAACCTTGTGGGGGTGGATAGGAGTTGGATGTATTTGTGTGACTTCATGATTTCTAAAATATGTCTGTGTATGTATGTGCATGTACATGTATATATATATATGCTCATGAATGTTTACTAGCCTGTTTATAGAAAAGGCCAAGAAGCAAATTCATCCCAGTAGAAATAAACATCCCTAGTGCTCACAATTTTTATTCTAATATCATTCTTCACCTAAAGGAATCAAGGCTCTTTAGAGAAATGGTTGATTCCAAAGCTGTGGCAAATCAGGTACAATATGACTCTGGAATATTTTGTTATGCCAGAAAAGAAAGAATTGCTGAAACAAAACAAAACAATGGAGGTATGTCACAAGGACTGAGAAGCTAGCTTGAAGGGGCTCCAACAGCCTCATCTGGGACCAGAGTAATTAAGTTCAGTAATGAATAATAAACCATTGAAATAATAGGAACTGTGATCCTGGACTGACAATAAATCACTAAGTAAATGAAGTATCCAATAATTGGTAGATGAGAGAAGACTCTTACTTGTGGTAGAATGTTGAGTACCAACTAGTAAATAGGGAGGCAATATTAGAGTTTGGAAATCATCATTTTTCAATCAGTAGTGTAAGCACCGGATCATGTGAAATCATCAATGGATGGTAAATCAGGGGTAATTTTGACGAAGATGTGATGTCTTATAATTTCTAAGTGCTTCCCAACAGACTGCTCATTTGTTACAAGGGCAAAATCAGTAATTACAGAGCTGAGACATCAGACAACACCTTGACCATGTGATCAAAATTAATCTCACTAGTGAGAGCAGATGGATATCACGGACTTCCAAATGACACATCCTGAGAACACAAAATCATCTATCTGGCTATTCAGCTAAGAATGTATGACATGAATCTAATCATGAGGACACAGCCAGGATGAGTAACATTCTATTAAAAAAAAAAAAGGTTGCAGACAATTTTCTTCAAAATTTTCAATGCTATAACACCATAGTCTGTGGAAATGGTCCAGATTAAAGGAGGCTAACAAGAAATGACAGCTAAATATAACTCTGCCCTAGACTGGATCCTACGGAGGCAGGGAAATTCTGTAAAGCACATTGTTCGGTCAATGAACGAAACTGGAATATGGATGCTAGATTACATAAAAGTATTGTACCAATGTTAAAAAAAAAAAAAGATCAAGGCTCAGATATCTTAAAACTGTGTTTTATATCTTATCAAATATATTTCATCATCTGAAACGATTCTGTAAATTTCTCCTTTAAGGTATGTTAATGTAGCAAATCACATGGTTTTTTTACTTAATGTTGAAACACTTGGATTCCTAGACTAACCCCTTTTTGTTTATAATGTATTATTAAAAAGAAAAAAAAACTAGATTTGATTTGAAAAATAAACAACAAATAAATAAAGCCAAAAATAAAGAACAAAGAAACAAAACAGAATTCAAGTTTTATTACTGAGAAGTTTGGAAAGCTTGACATTTTCAAAACAATGAGGCTATATGGTAAGCATGCAAGGCTGTGTGTGTGTGTGTGTGTGTGTGTGTGTGTTTGTAGGGGTGGGTGTTAGGAACTGGAGGTAGAAAAATTCTACAGAGAAGACAGAAAAGACTAAGGTTCTGGATGGAGTGAAGCAAGGAGAAGATCCATGAATACAGTAAGTAACCTGACTGTTAAGACCATTTGTCAGGGTGCCTGACCCATCCACTCATACCTTGCTTTGGGTATGGCCTTGATTCCTACTAGCAAAACACTCTCACTGCACTTAATCTACACAGAGCAATTCATTGCAATCAGACTGTGGAAAGATGATAGCTCTGAACATAGAAGAACTCTACCTACCATGGGAGCTTCAAGAGGGAAGACAGTCACTCTTGTAGTCAAATACTTGCCTTTAGCATGCAAAACAACGGCTCACACCCAGTGTTTTCCAAAAGAATTACTGGGAGAGCTTTAAAAAAAACCCCTGCATCCCAGACCACACCCACCAAAACAACTCAGTCAAAGCTTCTAGCTTTGGACAGGAGCATTCCCAAATTCAACCAGCCTTAAGAAAAAGTGGACTTTTGAGGTTCCATGTGCCCAAATATGAAAAGAGTATTTAATTACAGTAATACCAGCTAAGCATTAATGAAACCAAACCAGTTGCTTTGTTTTATATCTTCTGGGTAATTAATTTTAACAGCTCTACTATAAATTTCTAAAAAATATTTTTAAATGACTTCTTTGAGATGCAAAAAATATTTTCACCAAACATAAAATCGTGATGTCACTATATTTTCCCATGAGTTTCACATCCAGTGCATCTAAAGTTTCTATCAAACTAAAAAGCTTTGGTTCTATTTGATGTTAAGGTATAAATTCAAAAAACCCTTGATCTGTAATAGAAAATAAAATTAAGTCAGCTTATATAAATCCTTTTTAAAAGATTTAATCCAGCATTCAAAATCATGGCTCACAATTTACATAAAATGTTGTTGGGGTGTTGTTTCCTGTGAATATCCTGCTTGAAGAAGGCATTTGCAACAGCTGGAGAGCATCAAACTTGCCAGTCTCAGCAAGATGACATTTTCCCCCTATTGATTTATCTGCATTTCAATTCAAAAATATATATATACTCAAAAGCAGTCTCTTTCAGAGGTTCCACATTTCTCAACACCTACCTATTTCCATGAAAAACCAAGATGTGATTATTTAAGAATTTTCATAGGATAGATTTCTTACCTGCATTAGAGCAGATGACATCTTGAGAATTCTTGCACATCTGGTTACTCTTTTTCTTCGTCAAGTCACAGTGAGTTGGGTACTGGCACGCATCCCCAAACCAACCTTCCTCACATTTGCACTTGCCACAGTCACACTTACCATGGCCTGAGAATTTAACAACATCCAGTTAGACTCGAATTATTTTCCAAAGAAACCCACTATTGTAACTGAAAGTCTTAAGGGTAACGTTGGCTCAAGACTGAGCTCTAATAAATTCAAACACATATACATTACAGGGACTGAGGGGTAATGCTACTGTTTGACAGTATAACATAGTATGCGGATTTTATTTCAGTAACCAAAGTTGATAAATCATTCTAAAACCATTAATTAATTTGTAGAGACATGAGGATAGATAATAAACCAGAAGTTTAATTATACACTTGGTCAGAAAATTTAGCACTAAAAAAAGATCCATCTAGCACCTCCACATTTAAGACACAAAACCCGATAAAAATTATTTCCATTTAACTGCATTTTATAACACATAAAACCACCAACTCTGATTAGCAAATCTTACATGGAACTCCACCAAACCAAACATTGGCTTAGACCTATTGGAATTTAGAATGTAATAAAGTTTAATGGATATATTAAATACCATCTTGGAATATGATTGACATAAAAAATAATTACATATTTTGTTCCTTAATGAGACAATTTGGTTCAAGAATCAAAAGAATAAGAGCCATAGTCATCTACCTCCACAGAAATTTCTCAACTTTTCATGTTCTCAAATCAACATTATGCTGCTTTTATTGCTGTGATAATTAACTTTATTGAGTCTTGGTGGATGAATCCTACTAATGTTTTTATTGACTACACACCAGTCCTACCAAAGTACAATACATGTACAATACTGGGCTCTTATCTTGAAGTAACTTAAAAAGTTCAAAGTTGAGGCCGATATACAAAGAAGATCGTATTATCTTCAGCCAGAAATGTTTGTCAGACCCTGTGTTAAGTTGAGCAATATGTCTCCTCTAGAAATAAGAAGGGAGAGACTCTCTGAACTTCCTTGACCTTTAACTGAGCTTGGAAAGGTGAGCAGAGTTTGAATGGGCTACAGGGAGAGTATTCTTATATTACTCAAGATAATAATGCTCTGTCCCAATGCCTGAAGTTCATAGACCACAGAATGGAATCATTGATCTAGTGCCAATAGTCATTCAGTGTGGCAGCCAAAATCTACATGATGAGGTCCAGATGGTCGGTCAGAATGAATGGCTCAGAGGTGTCCCATTTGGGCATGTTCAGCAGAGCCTGACTCTAGGATTGGTTGTGACTTTAAAACTCCTCTGAATGTTGCCCAGTCCCTGTAAATGTTTCTACTCCTGTTGCATTTTTCAAATTAATTATTCTATTTTGCAAACAAAACCTTGCATGCACCCTAACTGTAATTCATTTTATCCAGTGCACATTACTGTCAAATTGATTGTATCATTTTGCATTCCTGTCTGGCCCTACATGATACTGTCAATCTCGGCCAACCTGGTATCATTTACAAGCATAAGTGATCTCTCCTGCCAACCATCCAGTCTATTTATAAAAGTATTAAGCCAAATTCTTGAAGTAGCTAAGTCTTTTTTTTTGCAAAGAAGTATCTTGGTAACTATAATTACTCTTTGATAATATTAGCATATTAGGTTGAACCACATGGATCGTCACTATTATTAGTTTAATATCAGCTATTTCTTATGGTCCATCCTAAGAAAATGTGGCTTCATATCCATACACAAAGAAAATAGAAGTGATTTAGAAGATAATGAAATGCAGTAGTAATGATTTGCTGAATCTATAATAAAAGAACACTCAACACTTCTTTTATATTGGATGGGACATCTCAGACCCTGACCAAAGGTATATATAACAGAAATGGGTAATGGTGAGTAGGCCAAAAGTTACAGATTTTTTTTTTACAGGGGAGTAAATTTTAGAAATAGGGGGAAAATAAAAACATGTACAGATGATAGGGAGAAACTCCTCCCTCTCAGACTGACCCAATGAAGCATTAGTAGAAATAATATTCTAAGGTGTTCACACCCCAAAGTTAGCTCATGGGGGCCCAGGTTCAGAAACTCCTTCCAGAAAAGGTTCTGTGGTTAAAAAAAAAAAAAAAAAAAATTGGGAAAGAGAACCACTATATTCTTCTTTTAGTGGGTCATGATATAAATCAACACACTGAAGCTTCTTCATGTCCTGTTGAGAAAAAGCTATTTGGTTTTTGCTCAGAATACACGGTATTTCTTACTAGGGAGCCTCTTTCTCTCATAACCTATATGAATTTCCTAAACCATACTTAGACCAATACTGTAGTAAATAATGTGCTTTCAGCTTTTCATTTAGCATCTGATCAGAGGTGAAGATGACAGCCAGTGTAGGACAGGGTCATCTGCCTTTATATTCTTCTGAACTTTATACCTAATAAAGGCCTCTTTGATTCACTTTTGCCCATTCAGGAAAGTGAATAGAAATCAATTTTTTTACTGTCAAGATTATCAAGTAATACCCTGTATGACCTAATTTGGAGGTAAATATATAATTTTTTTAAGATAGAAAATAATCTTCAGACTATTTTTACTCTTTCTCTACAATTAGTAATTTCTTGAGCAGAGCTCAGGGAATTAGGCTGCTACATTATTGTACCTGTAGTATGCAGCTCATCTCCATCACAGTGTCACAAATTGGCTTCAAAAAAAATTCCATTTTTCAAAATAATTGGCCCGTTGGGAATAGATGGCCCCAAAGAACCAAAGCGGAACCCCTGAATCAGGAGGCCCAGAACAGGGCTCTGACTGCCCAAGGTTGAAGGGTGGTCTTTGCTGGCTACATGAAATCCTAACCTGCAAAACATTCACCATTCCTGCCTGTCCCCATCCACCTCTCCAGTTCTGTTTCTTCTCCAGATAACTCAATTCACACTTAGAAAATGTGGTCTTAAAATGAACAATCCAACATGCTTGGCAATAAATCTGTTGCCCTTCCAATAAATTCCCAAGCAGTCAGGAGAAAACCCACACACACAAAACAAGGATGTCAGAGAAATGTCAGAACAAAACAACTCCTACCAAAGTAATAAGGAAGAAGAAGTAAATGGCTTTTCTTGTTGCTTCCAGGATTGTCAGTGGTGCAGCCAGTCGCTGGAAAGGGAAGACCGGCCATGGTGGAGGGTAAAATCCAGTAGTTAGTCTCCTATTCAGGGAAGGATGTGGAGGCCTGGAGGCTTTCCCCAGGGCTTCCCAGAGGTGAGCTAAGCCTTGCCTTGATCTCCACAGATAAAGGAGAAGCATCCCAGCAAAGACAGAACAAACTCAGTTTTGTGATGTTTAATGCTGTCAGCTGCTCCACCATTACTTCTGGAATGCAAAAGCACTAATTTACTCCAGAGGCAGTGGTGATGAATTTAATTAGTGCACAATGGAGAAGTTGCTGCTTTTTATTTTTTAAATTAAAACAAGCTATAAACAAATGGAAATACTTGACCAGTACTGAAGAACTTTTTTTAAAAAGTCAATTAGCCGTTTGTACATACTAGAGAAAAATAATTGTACTTTTCTTTTCCAAATAAGGAAAAAACTAATAAAGATGAGGGGACAGCACCGAACTCTCCTCCAAGTCTACTGATATTCTGGATAAAAATAAACTGCCAAAACTAATGTGCCCATCAGATTAGCTTTACATCTTTGGTTTCAAGTCTTAAAAAGGTAAAAAATAAGTAGTTAGATAATAGATGCACAGGTAGGCTGGTAATAGATTATAAGATGAAAGGATAAAGAAGATGTGGTATATGCATACAAAGAAATGTTAGTCACCAGAAAGAAGGAAATCCTGCTGTTTGGGACAACAAGCAGGGCTCTTGAGGGCATTATGCTAAAGCAGAAAGAGAAAGACAAACACTGTATGATCTCACTTATACGTAGGAATCTTAAAAAAAAAAAAAAACCAACTAGGGGCGCCTGGGTGGCTCAGTCGTTAAGCGTCTGCCTTCGGCTCAGGTCCTGATCTCAGGGTCCTGGGATCGAGCCCTGCGTCAGGCTCTCTGCTCCGCGGGAAGCCTGCTTCTCCCTCTCCCACTCCCCCTGCTTGTGTTCCCTCTCTCGCTGTGTCTCTCTCTGTCAAATAAATATAGTCTTAAAAAAAATAAAAATAAAATAAAACCCAACCAAACAAACAAACAAAAAAACACTCCAAGCACATAAAAAAAGAGATCTGGTTTGTGGTTTCCAGAGGCAGGGGGTCAGGGAGGGGAGTCAGAGGAAGGTGGTTAAAAGGTACAAACTTCCACTTAGAAGAAGCACTTGGTATGCCACACACAACATGAGGACTATAGTTGACAGGGCTGTATGGTAGGTGTGAAAATTGTAAGAGAATAAATCCTGAGTTCTCATTACAAGGAAAAGAAAAACATTGTTTTTGCACCTATATGCGATGATGGGCATTAACTAAATTTACTGTGGTCCTCATTTCCCAATGGATGTAAGTCAGGCCATCATGCACCAAACTTACACAGTGCTACATGTCAATTACACCACAACAAAACTGGAAAAATCCTGATTATTAATTATTATTTCATGAATACAGACAATAATTTTATCATTTATGTTTTAACATTTAGATGTTAAAAAAATGATTCTTTCTGGGTGTCACATAAGCTAGGGGAAAAGCATTCTAGAGCCTCATGGTAACCTTGAAACAGATATTTTAATTTGAGCACTCAGTTGGCCCTGCGAATCTATTTGCTTTGGTCAAATATGTAAATTCCCATGACCTGCATTGTGTCCTATTTTCCAGTGCATTCAAACAAGCTCACTTAATAAGAGACACACTCAAGTTTTTTCCTATTCTGAGTCACTATAAACTCCCCCCCCTTCTCTGGGTATAAAGAAGTAAAAGCACTAGCTATGCCACACCTAGAATTCTAAGAAAAGATTGTGAAAGGATCCCTTACACAATTATTTGTGTGTGAATTATTAATTTAATTAATAATTAATTAAAAACTATTACAATTATTTCACGGTTAGCAATAGAAACTTGACTATTTTCAAGCCAGAGTACCAGTCCCTGGCTTGCTTCTCAGGCTAACAAAAAATGACTTCTCAGATATT